CAGAAGTTTAAGAAATTTTAATTTTCGGACTAAGTTTTCATAGCCCATTTTCACCAAAAGCTTTGCTGCAGTTAAGTGCTCAAGTAAGTTCCAACAACTTTAACCTTGGGTGATCGCCAAGTTTTATTTCGTACTTTTTGCTTTTTACCCTTCATTTGCGTGTACTTAATCGGCCTTATCGGGAACTCCGTGTGAACAATTTTTCCCCAATTTGTTTTTGTTTTGCTTGTAAAATCTTTTGAAAAATTGATTCACATGGAATTGGCGATAGATAAGAGTTGCATAAACTGCAGCTAAGGCTTGGTGGAAATGAACTATAACTTTGTAATTATATTCAGGCAAGTTCTGCCATCACTTGGATTGAATTTCAATCTAACTCGCTTGAATTCAAATTTGCAAGGGTTGGAATTCACTCGGAAATAAATTGCAGAACCTGCCTGATTATCTTAAACCCAAAAACGAAAAAGTATAATTTTCCAAGAAAACTTTAATGATGATATATCTAACAAATTTGTCTTCTTTTCCCGACATAATTTTATTTTGATGATAATGATTATACTGATGGTTGTTTTATTTATAATTTATTTATCAATTTTTCAATTTTTTTTTATTAAAAGTAGCTTATCTTTCTACTTGCAGGTATATCAGCAAGGAGGAACAACTAAAGACAGCATTTTAATATTTACATTTAGATTTTAGGTTACTTATTTATATTGAGTAATAAATAAAGAGCTGAAAAATAAGCAAACATTTTCGTTTAAATTGATACTGCAGACGTGTAAGATTTTATCAATGTTTTTTTTTGCTGCAAGTCTTTTATTTTTAAGCCATAACGATTAAATGTAGAGTTGGGGATTATTTGTGATCTGGTATTTCTATCAATTACATCGGCACACAAAAATAAGGGTGTGACCCCCTACCAACATGTATTTCGACCCCCTGAATCCGTATCTGGGGCCCGTTTGACTCGCACACTCAAAATTTGGAGTAAAATTGCGAAAACCCGAAAAATGGCAAATGGACTACAGATTCGGATTCAGCTGGTCGATATTATAGTATGGGAATGCGGCACTGTCCATTTACGAACAAGGGGCAATAACCCTGTGAATGCCTTCATCGGAGTTCAACCACCACGCATCGGGGGACAACTAAGATTTGAATAATGTAGCTGGCTGAATATACTTGCTCAGCTACGACCCTTCCTTTTTGGTCTGAAGCTGTCGAAGTGGTACAACATTACCAACACATTTTTGGGTAACTTTACTGAATGGTATGGTTCTCAATTCGATCTGAGTTCGCCTTGTTGGCTAGTGTTCAGAGGCGTGTTACAGCACTGATCTTTGGGTGAAGTTTCCGGGTCGATCTGGCCTTTAGAGATCGTAATTTCTCAATATCCAAGAAAAT